ACATGAGAGGGGGGAGGGTCAGAGGGAGAAGCAGACTCCCTGCCGAGCAGGGAGCCCGATGCGGGACTCGATCCAAGGACTCCCGGATCATGACCTGAGCCAAAGGCAGTCGCTTAACCAACTGAGCCACCCAGGCGTCCCTCCACTGCTCATTTTTTAAAAAGGCACTTGGTACTGTATTGATTTTGGAACCAAATTTGTTTACTTTCATGTATTATGTCATATAAAATTTAATCCAGAAAAGAACTCTTAGCTAAATTTTTAATACTTTGACTATCAAAGAGCCAAAAATAGGGGTGCCTGAGTGGCTCAGCTGGATGAGCATCCAACTCTTAATTTCGGCTCAGGTTATTATGTCAGGGTTGTGGGATTGAGCCCCACATTGGGCTCTGTGCTGGGTGTGGAACCTGCTTGAGATTCTCTCTCTCCCTCGCCCCTCTGCGTCCCGCCCTCTCCCAACCTAAAAAAAAAAAAGAAAAAGAACCAAAAAATAAACTCACAATGAATTGTATATTAAATAAATTGCAGAACAACTATCTGAACAAAGATAATCATCTTACCATTTCCAATAGAATAGCCTGAGTTTTGGCCTCTTTTTCTGCCTTTATTTCTTCTACTTCTTCAGCTGATCTTCCTTTGAAATCATCAATTTCTTCATCTGCTCCTATTCGACCACTCTGTAAGGCAGAAGTTATTTAAACATATAGTGAAAGAATTGAAAAATCTGAGAAATACGGGAGATGTGATGCTTTGTCCTTGGTTCCATCAAATGTGTTAGAATAGACGGAAACTTATAAGCCTCTGAAAATTGATTTAAATTAATTTGATAATATGAGCCAGACTAAGCTTCTAATTTATTATTAAATCAAGATAAACATTATAAAGAAATTATCTGGTATCCAACTCAGTGCTGAATGCAGAAAATAAATGACCTTAAAAATTAAGCACCAAATCCCAACTATGAAGATCAATTCCGCTTTGAGAAAGCCTCATAAACAGAAACTTATATCTTAAAAAATATGAAGGAAAAGTCTACATTATTTCACAAAAATTTCTGGGTTCTAGCATGGCTCCAGAGTGTTCCCAGTTGAAAACTCCCTTACAAGATGATAGTTTACCTTAGCCTTAAAGCTACACTCCTAGAGTTAGGAGACAAGAAAAACATTTTCGCAAGGTATTCACATAAGCTTCCAGAGCTAAGGCTCTTCTAGTGGAACAGAAATTGAAGAAAGGAAATTAGGGAAATCAAAAGATAGCTAGAAAAATTAGTATCTCTATGGAAGAGAAAAAGAAGGCTAAACTTGTCCTAGTAGAATTGATCAAGCAAGACAGTCATTCTGAAGAAATAAGTTTTAATAAACTAAAAAGCAAAATCTATACAAAGCATTAATATGCATGTACATTCAATTACAAGAGGACTCTACTTACATCTAGCTGTTCCCTTGTAGGTTCTGGTGATCGATCAGGAATTAATAAATCAGGAGGGTCATCAAACGGATCATCTAAAATCACTGTATGATTTATCCTTACAAAATAAATCCAAGTCAAAGGTTTCATTTACATTATTTCAGAATTCATGTTTTACTTTTTATAAAGATTATAACAAATGTCTTAAGTATCTCTAACGCCCAAAAATCATAGGCACTTAAATTTTAATGCACAAGTATACATTACGAGAGTATACTTTCACAATCAGTGTTACTGTTTTTCATTGTTTGATATTAGATTTACTACTCTGCATTACTCTAAAATAATATATCTAATATTAATATGTCTAAATCTTAGTACTTTTGCCATATTTCTCAATAATATACATTTTTTAAAACTAAATTAAGGAGGGGCGCCTGGGTGGCTCAGTCATTGGGTGTCTGCCTTCGGCTCAGGTCATGATCCCAGGGGCCTGGAATCAAGCCCCACATCGGGCTCCCTGCTCAGCGGGAAGCCTGCTTCTCCCTCTCCCACTCCCCCTGCTTGTGTTCCCTCTCTCACTGTCTTTCTCTCTGTTAAATAAATAAATAAAAATCTTTAAAAAAAAACAAAAAACTAAACCTAAATTAAGGATTAATAATTCCTCCCAACATAAGCAATTATAAATAATTAGTAGAAGTATAAAAATACAAGGGCGCCTGGGTGGCTCAGTTGGTTAAGTGACTGTCCTCGGCTCACGTCATGATCCTGGAGTCCCGGGATTGAGTCCCACATCGGGCTCCCTGCTCAGCAGGGAGTCTGCTTCTCCCTCTGACCCTCCCCCCTCTCGTGTTCTCTCTCTCATTCTCTCTCTCTCTCTCAAATAAATAAATAAAATCTTTAAAAAAAAAAAAAGAAGTATAAAAATACAAAAGGTCTTTTTTACTTTATGGATTCGTATAGTCTCGTATTAATTCACATTTTGGAATTATCCAAAAACCAGTTCTATGCTTGCCATCTCCACAAACATCACAGTATTAAAACATTCTAGTACATTGAGATAGCAACCACACCTGATATCTTGATATGGTACAAAGTCCTTGTCAACAAAGGTCTCATTAATTTTCTTAATTATGTCCATGCCTTCTGTCACCTCACCGAACACTGTATGAACACCATCAAGATAATCTAGATTATCTCCTGTAGTAATAAGAAACTGAATAGAAAGACACAGAAAAATATAAATATATATCTATAATTCAAACTGAAATCAGTTACAGACTGACAAAAATATACAAACACAATACTCTACATTCACTGCATGGATTCTTACCCACTTGTTACTAGTACTAATTAAAAAGTACAAGCTTATACATAAAATATCAATACACATACAGATGCTTCCCTGATTGTTTAAAATACTTGGGCAAACCAAAGCTCAGTTTCTTCACATGTGAATTATGAGGGGAAAAAAAGCATCTACCCCAAAATGGGTTGTTGTGAGGATCAGACAATGAATGAAAGGTTCTCAACATGATCTGTTTTGAAGTAATAAATACCAAAAGGAAAGAGACCACAATGTGAACAGTGATGATCCATGGATAGTAGGATTGTGGATAATGTTACACGTTTTTGTATCTTCTGAACTCCTCACACTGGACATGCCTTTAAAAGAAAAAAGTACAGGCGACTGGGTGGCTCAGTTGGTTAAGCATCTGACTCTTGATTTCAGCTCAGGTCATGAGATCGAGCCCTGTGTCAGGCTCATGCTGGGGGTGGAGCCTGCTTAAGATTCTATCTCTCCCTCTGACCCCCCTTCTCTCTCTAATAAAAAAAATATAAATAAATAAATAAATAAATTTTTTAAAAGAACAAAGTAATTTTTTTTAAATATTTTATTTTTAAGTAACCTCTACACCCAACATGGGGCTCAAACTCACAACCCTGAGGAGTCACATGCTCTACTGACTGAGCCAGCCAGGTGCCCCCCAAAATAATTTTTTTATATAAAAAAAATATAGTATAATATTTTTCTTCTAACAATTATCTTTGAAATTCTCTTCTTATTGGATAGCTTAAAGCGATAACTTGTGGCTCTTTCCAGTCCTTCATTTTAAAACAAAACTCATCCTGGGGCGCCTGGGTGGCACAGTCAGTTAAGCATCTGCCTTCAGCTCACGTCATGATCCCAGGGTCCTGGGACTGAGCCTTGCACTGGGCTCCCTCTCCCCCTGCTCATGCTCTCGCTCTCTCAAATAAATAAATAAAATCTTTAAAAAAATGTTCTCTATAAAAAAAAGTAAATAAAAATTTAAAAATAAAACAAAACTCATCTTCTTACTCATTTCCTAACCTGAGATCCATGCTGATCACTGCCATTGTTCACCATGGACACAGTGCCTTTCTTCTTGTGCTTAATTCTTGGTACTTTTTCAGCCTCGAAAAAGCTTGCTTGATCACCATACAGTTGACTGAAAATACATACAGTAAAGTTATAAAATATAAGTACTCTCAACATGAAATACAAAGTACTAGTAACAAACAGGATTACCATTTCTTTATAGAAATGCCACTATGATTCAAAATATTCTCTTTTTTTTTATTTGCTATAGACATTTAGGGAACTTGGAAAAAAAATCTATATTTGAATTGTATTTTAAAATGCAGATTGAAATATGTTAGATAACACTGTTAAGAGGCAATTCTATTTTTTCTCATTTAAAAATAAAAGAACTCACCCAAAAACAGACTCTCCTCCACGGCCAGTCCCTGTAGGATCACCAGTTTGTATGATAAAATCCCTCTATAATAAACAAGATACTTTGTTAATTCACAGAGTTTGCTAGATGGTTCCAATAATAAAGGACATGACTTATATCCACCAACTCACCTGTACATTGTGAATAAGACAATAATTGTAATACTTTATTTTGCACAACTTCAGGAAATTCAAGCAGGCTGAAAGAAAAGTAAATACTAAATTTATCATAGTGGTTCACAAAAACATTTTTAAGCAAGTAAATGCTTAGTTGGCATAATTTCATTTCTAAATTACCATACAAACACCCCCCAATGGTCAAATATCCTAAATCATAAAAAAGGCAGTAAGTCTAGAAAAAGGCAATATATTTTAAATTATCTTTTTATTCTCTTTTTCTTAGGACTTCTTGGGCATCTGAGCTAATGCAGGAAACTGACACTTATTTGGGATAGGCAACCATTAACTAATGGATTAGTTTTGCAAGAGAAAAAAAACCCAAAGAGGATACTATGATGGAAAAGAATCTATCAGAGTATCTGAAAATGGGTACAAATTATATAAATTAGATAAAATCAAATATCTGAGACCAATTTCTTTAATGATGACTAAACAGCTCTTCAGAAAAATCCATATACTTATCATGTACCAGCTTTCTCATATAAATACACTCATTTATTCAGTAAATATTTATGGAGTATCTTCTAGGTGCTTGGCACTGCTATCACAAATGCCATTAAACCATAGTCCCTCCCCTCAACAAGTTCATAGTCTAGTTGTACACTAACAAACTCTCAGAACACTAAGCTAGAAACCAGACAGAAAGACCTATGAGGCTGTCCAGGGTCCTTACACCCGAGCAAAATAATTACAATACTGGATATATCTAATAATACCATCTGGGCCACTTATATAGTAAAATGGTAAAAAGTGGTTTTAAAAAAGCCACAAAGTTCAAAAGGAAGATTGTTTCTGGCTAGGGAAATTAGAAGACCTCATAGAGGCTGAAGGTGGGCATTAAAAGAACTAGACAGGGGTGCCTGGGTGGCTCAGTCGTTAAGCATCTGCCTTCGGCTCGGGTCATGATCCCAGGGTCCTGGGATCGAGACCTGCATCGGGTTCCCTGCTCTGCGGGAAGCCTGCTTCTCCCTCTCCCATTCCCCCTGCTTGTGTTCCTTTCTCGCTGTGTCTCTATCTGTCAAATAAATAAATGAAATCTTTAAAAAAAAAAAAAAAATACAAGAACTAGACAGGCAACGAGTAGAGAGTAAGCATTTCAAACTGGAAAGACAGTATGAATAAGTCTGGATGTGCAAATATAAATGTTTTTTGAAGGGTCCAAAAGACCAGTCTAAGCTCTGTAACACTCTGGTAATACAAAGTAATAGAGGGTAAATAGACCGGAGGGGTAAGATGGGGCCAAGGTATTGAAAGGTCTTGAATATCAGGATTTTGATTGTTTTCCTAGAAAAATACATTTCTGGGATTACTGTTAAATACAAGAGTAGTCCTTTAACTAGAAAACAAAAATAATGGATCTAGGTAGTGATCAATGGCTGCCAAAATCCTTAGATGAAAAGCTAATGGGGACACTATAACAGATACATCAGGTGGACACGCCTGAACCCACCGACCAATTTTAACTTCGCAGTAAGAACCAACCAGACATCTAGTACTTCCTGAATGTGATGCAGCTGAAGTGCAGACTACCTTATATGAAAATATTCTTGCCAAAAACATTAAGCCGGTACCTTATCAAGGCTCTAGATCTAAGTGGCAATTTATGAGAAACAGAAGAGATAAAAATATATTTAAAGATACAACAAGGATAAAATCAGTCAAATCCAAAATGAGGGAAATTCTATAAAACAAATGACTCAGATTCCTTCTCAAAAAGTTGTTAAGGTAGAGGCACCTGGGTGGCTCAGTCAGTTAAGCTTCAGACTCTTTATTTCAAGTCAGGTCATGATCTCAGGGTCCTGGGATCAAGCTCTGCAACGGCTCCATGCGGAGTCCGCTTGTCCCTCTCCCTCTGCTCCTCCCCCGCTCATACTCTCTCCTTTCTCTCAAATAAATAAATAAGTAAACTCTCAAAAACAAAACAAAACCCGTTAAGGGAAAAATGGGGGTTGGGGTGGGGAAGAAACTGTAGATTAAAAGATATCAACCAATATAACGTATGGACCTTGGCAGTTTCTTACAAAACTGAACACATTCTTACCATAAAATCTAGCAATCACACCTCTTGGTATTTACTCAAAGGAGATGAAAATGTATGTTCACACAAAAACCTGCATACACATGTTTATAGCAGGTTTGTTCACAATTGCCAAAATATGGAAACAACCAAGATGTCCTTAAGTAGGTGACTGAATAAATAGTATGTGGTACATCCAGACAATGGAATATTATTATTTGCTACTAAAAAGAAATGAGCTATCAAGCCATGAAAAGATATGGAGGAACCTTAAACGCATATTACAAATTGAAAGAAACCAATCTGTAAAGATTACTTACTGTATGATTCCATCCATATAACATTCTGGAAAAAACAAATCTATGGATACAGTAAAAGATCACTGGTTGCCAGGAGTTGAGGAGAGGGGTGCAAATAAATAGGCAGAGCACAGAAGATTTTTAGGGCATGATTTACATGATTTTCCTGTTTGATACCGTAATGGTGGATATATGTATTATACATCTGTCCAAACCCATAGAATGTACAACACCCAAGAGTGTACCTCAATGTAAACTATGGATTATGACGTGTCGATGTAGGTTCATCAAATGTACCACTGTAATAACAAGTGTACAGTGTTACATAGTACAAATGGTACAGATGTACAACAAAGGTAGACGCTGGTGGGGGATAATGAAAATGGGAGAGGCTGCACATACGTGGCGATAGGGGTCTATGGGAAATCTCTCTATATATCTTCCCCTCAGTTTTGCTATGAACCTTAAATTGCTCTAAAAAAATAAAGTCTTTAAAAATAGGCAGGGGGGGTTGTGAACATAGCATAACGTATAGAGAAGGTGAATCACTATCTTGTACCTGAAACTAATGTGACATTATGTGTCACCTAAATTCAAATAAACAAAATTAAAAAAAAAAAAAAAAAGGCAAGGGGAGGGGCTCCTGGGTGGCTCAGTCATTAAGCTACTGCCTTCAGCTCAGGTCATGATCCCAGGGCCCTTGGATGGAGCCCCCCAACGCATCAGGCTCCCTGCTCAGCAGGAAGCCTGCTTTTCCCTCTCCCACTCCCCCTGCTCGTGTTCCCTCTTTTGCTGTGTCTCTCTCTGTCAAATAAATAAATAAAATTTAAAATAAATAAATAAATAAGGCAAGGGGGAGAAGCTATAGATTAAAAGATATTTAAGAGCTATATCAGCCAATATAATAAATGAACCTTGTTTGCATTTTAAATTACCAAATATTTTTAAAACACTTATGAGACAAAAGGAAAATATGAATGATACCAAAAAATTATTGCCAATTTTTTCAGATGTGATAATGATTTGTGGTTATTTTTTTTTTTAAAGATTTTATTTATTTATTTGAGAGAGAGAGAATGAGAGACAGAGAGCACGAGAGGGAAGAGGGCAGAGGGAGAAGCAGACCCCC